AAATTGTAAATTACCAGGCAATTAGAAAATAAAAAATGACCAGTCATAAACAATTTAGTTTTTACGTGTTCCAATTGGAAGTGTCAGACCATAACACTTCTGAATCTTCTCCACATCGTTGATAGTAATGTTCCGGCTGGGCTTTAGTTTTTTAACACCAACAAAAGAATTTGATGATACTGGAGGATGAGCATTTATCAAAGTAGGAAGCTGACATACTTTTCTCCTTCTTTTTAGTAATTGGTTAAAATGGGTTGAACTTGTCTAACATTCAGTAAATTTCTTTGGCCAAAGACCAGATTTAGTTCACTCATCTGTAGTGCAGTTGGTGTTAAAATTGCAAACAAGTTCGTGTGTCTGCTGCTGCAAGTTCCATTGATTCTATTTTTATTTCAACATAAACACAAACAAGTTATACTAAGAGAAATAACTCTTGCAGAATTTTGCACTTCTGACAGCTAATTTCTAAATGATCAAGAGTGAATATCTTTATTATTTGAAATAACTCATATCTTATTTTTGGCATATGAAAGCTATTAGATGGGAACTTTGTTCTTTGTTTATTTGAGGGGATTTTATCGGTGCCATTTGAAGAAACAACAAATTGGATTTTGAAGGTTTTTACTATAAAATTTCTAAATATGAGTTGTATGGTTACCATGGCAATGCAAATTATCGTATTTTTTATTATGATCATTATGTTTCTACATTTAGCAAAGTTTATGAAAATCTGTGACCACAGGTTTCCATCAAATTTTGATGCTTACAGAGAATGGCTCTTAATACAATGGGTGTGTTCTACAATGTGCACGCTGTGAAATGCAGGAATTTGGTTGACTATATGAAATAAGAGTATGGATAGTGGCAGACATTTTGTCATGTGTTAGGCCACGTAAGGATCTTTAGATATGTGTTGCAATGGTTCTTCTGTATGCAGAACGAGTGGCACTCATTTACATGAGAAGTTTAATATTCCCATTTCAACCGGATGTGGCTTCCAATTTATACATTCTGCACAATTAAACGGACACCCCACTTTATCAAGGCTTCAAAACTGTTGTAATCGGACGCGTCTAGAAATTACCATAAATATATACTCCAGTCAATCCTTTAGTCAAGTATTCAGAATTTTTCAAGTTTTTAAATCTCTCTTTGGTATCTTTCGCCTCTCTTTTGAATGTGTGAATAGGCGAGAAAAGAAAGACACAACTCAAGTTGTTAGTATATCATGATACTCTCTGGAGCCCAAGTACTCAACTGGCCTTACACTTGAGATACCATTATACAAGTATGAATATTTCAACGTTATATGTGTTTTTCACGGTTCACTTCTTCTGTGCAATAGAAATCGTTTAAACACGTGTTTCAAGATAGATAACTCCTCAATGATTTGACTATTTCAGTTCATGAAGACTTTCTTTTATCTTGACGCACTGATCATTTTAAGATTTTTACGTTTCCCCAGGCTCCTTATACAAACTCTAGAAATATTAGACAATACAAGTAAAACGCGCATTTTATGGGCACAGTTTTTTTCAACGAATTATTTTGCTTAACGTTTTATACTTTTAAAAATATCAGACAAAACCATGAAAATATTATCTAATAAAACTTTGAATATATGTTATAACCTAAATACCACTATGGACCATTCGCACAAACTTTTGGTTAAAATTTGTTCAGCGTTTTCTTAGGATACCATTTTTCAATAAAATAGGATTATATATTTATATTTAACTAAACTGATGATAAAATAAAAAGGAATATATATTGCAGGTAAAAATATCCATTAGTTTAATCCGATTAATATTCGCGGCACCAGCGTGTTTGAAACCGGGAAAATTTACATTGACGATACAAACATAATATGCGAACAATCGCCATGTCGTCTGCGGAAAGAAAGAGAATGTTACGAACTTAAAAAGGGAAGTTTCAGTCTCAGAAGTCATTGTCAAGCAATTAAAGACACAAGAGTCTAAAACCAACGCATCACCAAGACGCCCTGCTAATGATACTGAACACAATTATTTCGCCGGCCCAGATGTGATCTCCGACTTAGATCTAGATTTCAGGGCAAGTTTCACTGTTGACCCCGCCACAGATGACAGCTGGAAGACTGGCAGGAGGGTCGTTGAACTAGAGCCTCTAGCTCAACAGATGTACTGTACATCGTGCCAGTCCCCTCTTCACCTCAGTGACATTGAAAGTGAGAGACGGTTTGGCCTATGTAGCATTCTATACATCCGTTGCAAGAACAGTGTAGGAACTTGGGTATGATGTTATCAGGGTGTGACAGTTATAGGAACATTGGTATGATGTTATCAGGGTGTGACAGTTAAAGGAACTTTAGTATGATGTTATGAGGGTGGGACATTTATAGGAACTTGCAATTGAGTATGATGTTATGAGTGCATGACAGTTATAGGGACTTGGTACAACGTTTAACGGGGAGACAGATATAGTAGCTAAGGTATGGTTTTACCAGGGCGTGACAGTAATAGGAACTCGGGTATGATGTTATGAGGGCGTGACAGTTATAGGAATTTGGGTATGATGTTATCAGGGCGTGACAGTAATAGGAACTTGGGTATGATGTTATGATGACGTGACAGTTAAAGGAACTTAGATATGATGTTTTGTGGGTGTGACAGTTTTAGGAACTTGGGTATGATGTTATGAGTGTGTGACAGATATAGGAACACCGACCGAATTTTGTTGTCAACCTTGCATGTTTTTTGGCGATCTAATGGATTGGGTGCAAATGAAAATTTTTGTAGTTTTGGACCTGCTTACATCCTATTTTTACTTCTTCTTTGATCTTACATTGTTCGCGTAAAGATCATTTATTTTGAAAGATATAAAAAAAAATGTACTTCAGTTTCATTCTCCTTCTTTGAGTATATAAGTGTTGCACCGACCATTCAGCCAGAAAGGGGAAGGCACAGGTGCTACGTTTGAAAAAAAAATGACGAGATCCCCCTTCAAGTTTTATGGTCGTCCCATACTTCTGAAAGTTTGACAATTTTTCATTTTATAAAATTCAATCTAAACTTGCATAAATGCTGTAATCACCAACACAATCTCCAAAAGATATTTCTATATCAAGGAAGAAATGTGAAAAAAGGACAGATACAGGCCAATGACACAAAGACACCACAAATCACATAATGGGATATACAAAACAGATATCCAGATGTGAACTTCATTTAACTGATTATAATTTATTAAAGATTTTCATATTACAGGTCTACATAACCATATTACTTATTTTATATACGAACAATACATATACAGCTGGTCATTTGTGTTCCCTGACCATCTTCTGTTTCGTCTATCCTCATGTATAGGAGCATGCAGTTTGTTTGGTCAAAGACTCCAAATCTGAACATGGTGTAACAATTGGACAAATCATACCAGTAATCTATCTTTCTCCTGCAGGGCTTTTTCCTGCTTAGTCATAAATATTTGTATAATATGTGTTGGTGTCCAGATTGAAATGAATGGAATAAACACGGCTGCTGTACATGACTTTAATAGTCAAAACTGATGTCTTTTCATCCAATAACTGCATACAAACAATTTACCAAACATGGGACAATAAGGACATTTTCATTACTTTTAATGGCAATCAGAATGTTATCCTAAGATTCAAAATAATACAGTTTGAAGCACTGAAAGAAAATAAGTGTTTCATTCAAAATCAGAGACTTGTATATGTAATACACAAGTATGACCAAAGTTAAACACCTCCCCTTACGACTGATAGATGTGGGCATAAAAGGTAAGTTAATCACTTTTTCCTCTAATTGGTTATGATCAATCCCTATGTGTTACAAGACAAAATGATTCTTTGAAAAAAGATGCTCCCAAAGATGACTTTCAATGTGAAATCTTCTTTGCAGATCCACAAAAAACGTATGTTTGCGTTTTACAGAGATTACATGATGAATATATAATGCCCATTTCCGTGAAAACGAGTTCGGGGACATATCAATTTTATTAGCTCATTATAATGAAAATAATTAAATACTTCAGTTCTCAGTTTTTTTACAAAAACGGTGGACATGGAAACGGGATATTTTTTTGCTTTTTGTTGCCATGGCAATGGTTTTATTTTAACCCCCCCAAAAATCTAGTTTTTTAGTACTTTTTTATCATGTTTATGAAGTTTTGAATTAAAATTTATTATTAATGAATGGACCACAATTATTTATACATGCTTTATTCAGTTTTATTTTTTATTGTCACTTGCATAAATTATTTATTAAGAAGAGTTCAAATAAAATTTTCCCTAAAAAAACATCCAAAAATCGCAATTTTGAGCTTTTCACACAAGAAAACGGGACGGGCAATATTCGATTTTGTTTTTCATTAAATGATCGGGTACTCCTCCATGAACAAAATGATATATCATAAAGGTATAGTATCACTTAGAAAAAAATCCAGGTATCATGCAAACCTAACTTTAAATTGCAATAATAATTTTAAACGATTTACCGTTGTGTATTAATCTTATTTCTTCATGTTCATTGTCTTTCTTTTAAAAAGGAAAATAGTACTCATTTGTTTGTTTTTTGTTTTTTGTTTTTTGTTTATCTTACTTAAATCTGATAATCAAACAGTAAAATATACTGTACAGTGATTTTTTTAAGTATCTCCCTTAAATATTATTTTAGTAAACAATAAAATATAAAAAGGGTGCAATTTTTAGTATCATCCTCAGCAACACGTTTATGTGTATCAAACCATTTACAGGTTTAAAAAAAGGCTGGTGTCATTTAACAAACTAGTATGTATTTATTAATTGTGAAGGAAAACAAAGAATTGCAGAACTTTAATTTTATCTGGTAAGTTAACATTGCAGTTGCCAATTATCGATTTTTAAAGCAAACGGTAATATAATTGATTGAAGCAATAAGAAAGCATATGCGATTTGATATCCGTATAATTTAAATAACAAGAAATTTTCCTTTTAAGTAAACATATGAATTTTTTTTCAGGTCAACCCAAGATTCCTTGTACCTTCCCTTGTGATTTTATAAATAAAACGTTTGATGTGTATTCTCAAGCAACAGAATTCAGTGTGAGTTCTTATGGTAGTTGGACTTTCAGTGCTGACAAATCGACAGGGACATATCTTAATATTAATGTAGACTGTTTTCAAATATCGGAACAGTTCCTTGTTCTCAGGTATTTATGAACAAATTGTCCATTATTTTGTTATTGCTTATCAATTTGAATGTATGATGCATGGATTTCTTTGGTTTTCTTGGAAATTTTTTTTTGGGGGGGGGAGAGGGAGTTGTGATTAATTTAGTGTCGTCTTGTCGACAAGTTTCCATGTTTGTGCTAGTTCATTTTTATACAGGGCTTATTTATAAGGATATGTAAAGCATACACTCTCCTCTTATAATCTTACGCATTACACCATTGAACTATTCTATAGTTTTGATGACTAGGATTAACGTATTTGGATAATTAAACAATTGAAAATGACTCTTTATAAATGCTATTGGCGTAAACTGTTTTACTTGATTTATCTTCATCATGATCGCTAAAAACCAAACATTTGAAAGCCAGGATGTATGAAAACCGAAACATGTGAGGAGCTATATGACTAAAAGGGAGCTAAGACTTATAGCCAAATATATATAAGGTAAACAAGGATACAAGATGCAATGCTAGGTTTTATTCAAAATAAGTACTCCTGTTTTATTTTCTAATTCAAAAATAAAGGCAACAGAAGTATACCGCTGTTCAATAGTCATAAATCGATTAAGCGAAAACAATCCTGGTCACAAACCAAAACCGAGGGAAACACATCAACTATAAGAGGAAAACAACGGAACAACAGAAACACTGAACTGCAACGAAAACAAACGCCAACATAAATAGACACGGACTATTTGATAACAACTGCCATATTCCTGACTTCGTACAGGACATTTTAAGATGTCCTGTATAACATCACAAACATGTTCAGCCCCGCCACATTCTTTATGTGCCTATCCCAAGTCAGAAGTCTGTAGTTCAGTGGTTGTCGTTAGTTCATGTCTGTCTTATTTGTTTTTCGTTAATTGTTTTGTTATAAATAAGGCCATTAGTTTTCTCAATTGAATTGTTTCATATTTTTCATGTCGGGGCCTTTTATAGCCGACTATACGGTATGGCTTTTTTTCATTGTTGAAGGCCGTACGGATGCCTATAATTACTTACATCCACTTTATTTGAACTTTGGTGCTTAGCTGTCTCATTGGCAATCATACCTTATATCCTTATTTCTATATCTAACTTATTTAGAGTATTTTAGACCTCGCTAAAAGCAGGTGAAGAGACTGTGATAAACATTATATCTACGTATTATGTTATATTTTTCGTTGACATGAGGTGAAATAAATATTTCGTCGATTTGTGATAAATTCTAAATATTTTTTCAGACTAAGCGAGTCATCAACGACAGAAGAAACTGAGTTTTTATGTTTCCCAGTCTTCTACACAGTTGGGCAATCATTCTTTAAATATCTGAGTAAAGGTAAATGATATGATTAATTGTTGCTGTCCATTGGCAAGTATTGAATGTATCCAGGCCAACAAAATGTGGATCCCCGAAAAAAACAAACGCAATTTCTCCCTTAATTTTCATTCATATTTCACTTTGAAGAACAAATGGCATAGAATTTGAAACAGATAAAATAGTAAATGGAAAAATTATGTTTGGTTGACCCTGCACATTTTTGAACAAAACGTAAAGATATGATGAGCTACAAAGATATGATGAGCTAAAATTATTGCAACTTTACAATTGTAGGCCTGGCATCTTTTATATGTTTTTACACTCAAGTTTTAGTTCAAAATGTTTTTGTTTTCCAGGTTAGAGGAGGGTTGAGTGCTGACAAACACGTTTAACCCCACACATGCTTTATATGCCTTTCCAAAGAAATCAGACGGCAATTTAAAATTTTTCGTTGGTTACTGTCTGTCATATTTGTTTAACGTTTATCCTTATAACTTTGAATCGTTATATATAAAACATGTCTGAAGGAGCATTAAAATATCCATGTACAGATTTGACATTTATTTCAAAAATATTTCATGGGGTGGATACCTTTTTTGTTCTTAACTTTCAGATAATTAAAAATTCTCGTTTAGCAAAGGTAATGAAATGATAATAAAGTAAACATAAATCTCTTGCATAGTAGACTAAACAGGAATCAATCGTCAGATTCGACCGACGGCAATGACTAAGAAAAAGTTACCGGGGTTAAAATCTGATCGATAATTGATTAGAAAGAGACAAATCAAGGTTAAAAACAAGAACCGAGGAACTGGAGCAAAACTGAGTGTGTAGACGGCTTAAGTATTTCTTGTTATGCAGCCATGTCACTAATGAGTTGCGTCACCGACACATGGTATCGATCAACCAAATCGTGTTAGTGACCACATAACTAATGTAGGGTTGCTTTCAGTCATTCTTTATCATAGTTTATGTGAAGGGGCACACCCCGTTGATAAAGTCCGTATAGTCTTAACATGCATTCACGTAATGTATTAACTAAGATATGTAAATAATATGCGACGGTTCAGATGTTGGATTTACTTCGAATTGGCCGTTCAGTTAAACATATTTTTCTGTTCAAACCCGACCAATAAGGACACAGAAGTTAAATTGTAGTTACCGAAGTTGGCATGCGCGTATCTTGTCCATTTTGTTCATGCTCGTGATATCAAGCTGATGAAAAAGATATTTCAATTGTTTAAATGGCCTTGCTATTATTTGTAGTTGAACTTAACTATGTTAAAACTTATTTTCTAGTGAAATGTGTATTGAATATATATATGTATAAATGATGTTTAGAACTTTATAGACTTTTTTGTGTTCTTAATAGTAATTAAGCACGTCAAAGTTGTCAGATTTTGAAATGACCAACTTTTGTCTGTATTAGTACTTCTTAACAATCTAAACAGTATAAATGCCACCCACAATTATCCTCAACACTGTTTAAATTTTCTTAAATTATTCTGATTTTACTGAATGTTAACAGTCAGAACACTGTACAAATATGTTTCAACACATTCTTAACATTTTGAACACTATCTTTATGTAAACACAACAGTCAAAAAGCTGTCATAAGATGTAAACCAAACGCCTGAAACAGTCAGAATACGTACAATCTCTCGGAATTTTTTCTGTAAAAATGTATAGTTTTCACTGCTGGGGCTTCAAAGACTTCATTTGAATATGTCCAGACCAAATAGTGAAAAAAGATTAGTATGATCTGTACCAAATATAAAAATTTTTACTACTATTCTTTTTTGTGGGTTCAATAAAATAATAATGTTTATATTGTTTTATTTTGTTTTTTATAATGATAAAACAATTATGTATATATGTAATTTAAGATGCGAAAAATTAAATTTGCTAGTTGTAAATCTTTCACAGTAAAATTTCTAATCTCCATTTGTTGTAGTCTTAACTTCAAAAGACTTATGGTAGACTTACATGACTGTATAACTGCTAAATTTATTTACCTTTATTTACCGACTGTAGATAAGTTATTAACCATGACGTTATGTATATTGTTTACAGTTTTTGGAAAGGCAGCAAAAGGGACGCAATATTGTGTAAATTTCGTTTGCCTACGACCACATAGGATTCATCAATAACGATAGTATAATTCAATTATCAACTTATAAATTGTTGACATTTGTTTTGCTTTGTGCAAGAAATTGAAATAAATTAAATACTTCACCAAAAAGAATAGAATGTTAACCTCGTTTAAACCAATAAAAAAACTTACTGAATTTAATATAAACATAATCAAAACCTGGATACATTCAAAATCTTGAAACGAACTAAATCAATTTTCATATAAGGAACCGGTCAAAATTTTTCAAGCCATGGGACCGGTGCAAATTAGCATGGGACATGCACTTTTTTAAAGCAAAATTTCCATGGGACCTGACTTAATCTTACATCTTAATTAAGTGTGCATGGGACATTGACTTTTTTTATTGAATCAAATCAAAAAGGTTATAACTGTGAACCATGTATATGGCCTGCACAGATACAAAGAAAGTCACATATATCATTTCCCACATTTGTTGGCATCTACCATTCCTGCAAGTTAAAATTTTCAGTTCAGACAAAAGTCACTTTTAAAAATTTCTATAACTTTTTCAAATCAACTTGGATTTTCATAAATTATGACAGCCATCTAATTGTTATACTATTCTTACTAATGCCAATGTTATTCTGTATTTGGTTTATTGATGTCAAAGGAGTAGGCCCGGTAAGACCCCTTTTTGACCCCAAAATATAGCATTTTTACAATTTTGTTGAAAGACAATACACATGCATCAGGTAATCGCATTATAAATGCATGCAAAATTACTGAAATCTTCACAATTGTAGCATTTATGCTAATTTTAAGACGGTTTTTGTCTAAAATGGAAGTGGCTGCATTTATGTTCAGTCTTAATATTTAAATATATGTTGTATTTGATGATAATACATAACATATATGAAGGTTGAGACTGAACACTAATGCGGCCACTTCCATTTTAGACAAAAACCATTTGAAAAGTGACGTTTTATGGCATATTTGATAGATTTTTCATATTTAAGCTTGAATTTGAGCGTCTTTAATGACCAAATCAGTTCAAATCTTTTACATAAACTTATTGAATCGATTGAAGTAGGCACTTCAGTGTTTAAAAATGTCAAAATTTTTCATCAGATGTACTCCGAATTTGAGGCAAAAACTAGCCCTTACCGGACTTTCTCCTTTAATGTTTTAACCAATACATGAAAAAAACTAAGTTAAGACTAAATTCAGGTGGTCACCTTTACAAATTTCTATAACTTTTTTTTAAATCAACTAGGACTTTCATAAAACATGACAGCTATCTCATTTATATACTAATCTTATTAATTGCAAAATGATTTGATATTTGTTTTATTGCAGTCAAATCAAATGTTTTAATCAATACGTGAAAAGGCTAGATTTTTCATTTCGAACTAAATTCAGATGGTCACCTTTAAATTTTTTTATAACTTTTTTAATTCAACTTGGATTTTCATAAAACTTGACAGCTAATTCAAATATATACTATTCTTTCTAATTCCAAAATAATTTGGTATTTTGTTTTTTGCTGTCAAATTTAATGTTTTAAGTAATAGACTGTGAAAAAAGCTAGAATTTTCAGTTTGGCCAAAATTCAGATGGTCGCCTTTAAAAATTTCCAAAAGTTTTTCAAATCAACTTAGATTTTCATAAAACATGACAGCTATCTCATTTATATACTAATCTTACAAATTCAAAAGTTATTTGGTATTTGGTATATTGCTGTCAAATTTAATGTTTTAATTATAGACTGTAAAAAAGCTAGAGTTTTCAATTCGGACAAATTCAGATGGTCACTTTAAATAAATTTCTATTACTTTTTTATTTCAACTTGGATTTGTTGTAAACATGACAGGTAATTCAATCATATACTATTCTTACTAATTCTAAAATCATTTGGTATTTGGTTTATTGCTGTCAAATTTAATGTTTTAATAAATAGCTGAAAAAGCTAGAATTTTCAGTTAGAAACATAATTCAGATGGTCACCTTTGAAAATTACAATAACTTTTTTCAAAACAACTTAGATTTTCATAAAACATGACAGCTATCTCATTTATATACTAATCATACGAATTCCGAAGTTATTAGGTATTTGGTTCATTGCTGTCAAATTTAATGTTTTAATTTATAGGTAAAAATAGCTAGAGTTTTTCAGTTTGGACAAAATTCTAATGGTCACCTATAAAAATTTCTATAACTTTTTTAATTCAACTTGGATTTTCATAAAATATGACAACAAACTGCTAGACATAACACAATATCAAGTTACTTGTCTTGTAAAACATGGCATTCTTACACATTGGTGAAACACATTTAACAGCGTTGTCATCAACCCACATGTCAGTTGTATTTGAATGATGTATGCTTTTCTGACACAATGGTTTGAAGAACAGTTTATACTGTATGAACTAACATGAGACACCAACTTATTTTGTTGAAAAAATAGAATGGGACATAAACTTTTCTTCATTTGTATAACCATGGGACCTCGATTTTTTTTTATAGATCATTTATGTCTTGAACCGGTCTCATGGCTTGCGATATTTTGACCGGTCCCTAAGCAAATTCGACAGCAAATCATTTGGCCAAATAAATACATCAAAATAAATAGAAAATATCTTATATTCAAAAATTGGATAAAATGTGAAATTTTATTTGTCAATGATAAAATTAATGATGAAGGGAAAATAAATCAAAATGTCTAATTAGATAAACTGTCTTCGCATGCTTATTGGTTTTCAGAATACTCTAAGTTAGTGAAAGAAATACCAAAACTGTGATTGTAGAACTAACGAAAGAAGAACCAATTTAAAAAAAAGTTGCTACTGATTCGGAGTTTAAATTTCAAATTAGGGAAGGAAAAAAAAGATACCAATACAAAAATTATCGGCTCAAAACATTTATCGTTCCCTCTTGGACAGATATTGTGAGAAAGCAGTAGGGTTTGCAAACTGTAAAGGGTAGATTACTCTAGATGACCAACCAAAGAAAAGAGAACAAATGTTCTTTTATATTTTCAGTCATTTACAAAAAACAAGTTGAAAATGCTAAAATGGAAATTTTTAATTTACATATTACCATCAAAATAACTACTATTCTCCTGGAAAATAGCGAAAAGTCCTTTATGTCATATATATGTAATGTTATCGAAGATTTTGAACATTACTGTTTGAAATGCAAATATCTGGAATTATTTTTGGGATAGAATCAAAACTGTTACTTGATAGAATTAGAATAGGACATATTATTTCAATAAATTCTCCTTTATATGGATACAAGATAAATGATAAAAAAATATTATAGTATTAATGATTTTCTCACTATTTTACTTTTTACTGTGTATAAAGTCTATTATATGTCTGAACAGAAAACTAAACAAATCGGTGTATTTTGGAATTTAAAATAAGAGTTTAGTCAACATTAATACTCGAGAAGTAAACAACGCAAATGTGACAACAATACCGAATTGGTTGCAGAAAAAATAAATCTATTTTCCAAAATTAAATCGATATAAATATTCTTTGGTCATTCATATGAATGATTGTGATACAGAATTCATTAAATCTATGGTTTTATTTTTATTTTATTTTTTCATTTTTCATTTATAACAATTTGAAAAAAAATGTTTTTTAAAAGCCGATTCAAAATATACAATATAAAAATGTTCCTTCTTATATGCTGTAAAAAATCAGGAATAAGTTTTTACTAACTTAACTATTCTGTAAATTGTATATTGTGTACTAACATATATTAACCATGTACTAACGTGTACTAACATGTACTAACCATTTCTACATGAGAAAATGCGAGTACCAAAGTCAGGAATCTGACAGTTGTTATCCATTCATTTGATGTGTTTGAGCTTTTGGTTTTGACATTTGATTACGGACTTTCCGTTTTCAATTTTCCCCGGAGTTCGGTATTATTGTTATTTTACTTTGTACTAACCATGATAATGAACTGTATAATACTAATGTTAACGAGACCGGTGTATTCAACTAACGTAGTTCTAACTGCCGAAATGATATAAAGGGTAAACTTTAAATCTAAACACTAAAAGATAATATCATAAGATTCCAATCATCCCGAGGAATAGAAAAACTTAAAACACTGATATAGTTTGTTTAATTGATGTTAAAAAATAAAGGAAGTCCATCCCATCTGCTGTTTTTACAAAAAAAATAAAAAGGACCCACTTTAATCTCACTTTATCGAATGTTATGTGTGCTGAGTAATTTTGGTTTCAATGTTCTGGGTTACATCTTTATGCATGTATTATTACTCATCTAGTTTATGACTACCGGTTTACTGGGATACTGGCATGAAAATACAGATCTTGTCTCAATAAATTTGCTGTTACAAAATTCTATATTTATTTTAAATTAAGGAGTTTTCTCCATTATGCAAAACTCTTATTCCTTGCCGGCTTTGGGTGTACGCTTTGTCCATTTTGATCTAAAAGCTCTTCATTCGTTGAATAAGTTTTGGATTTTCAAATATTTTGGCCCGAGCATCACCGAAGAATTAATAATTGTCGAAATGCGCATCTGGTGCAGTAAAATTGGTATCTTTAACCTTTAACCTATTATAAAAGTTACCAATTTTGTCGACGTAACGGAACTATAAACAACTGTCATACAAGTTGGAGGTTTAGATTAGCTATAAAACCAAGTTTAAGGTAGATGGGGTGTCTTCCAACATCTTTGATTGCTAAATAGCAGAAAATGATCGGTCTAGATCTTTAATGAAATGTGTAATTTTTGAGAGAGAAATGTAATACATTTGTAATTATGTTCATCTAAATGAAGAAAATTGTGTGTTTTATCTTATTGTAATACCTGTTTTTACAAAAGCAGAATATTTTTGTTTTGTTTAATTTTTTTTCAACTTTGCCATTTAAGGGCAGATAATGTAACTTTTATAAAGGAATATGTTAGGAATTTATTTGTTTTGTTGTGTAGCAAGACAACTATGCCGGTGACCCTAATTTTATTTTTATTTTCAGAAAGCATATTACATGAGCTATCTTCTCATATTCTATCTCAAAACAATTTGGTTTAGTTTTCTTACTATTAAACAAAATTTTGTTTTTTATGCATAATCCATACAGAATCTGACAATTTTGAACAGCCTGTAGCTTGAAAAAAAGCGCCGTAACCCATACTTTTTATTAAATTTTTGAAGAAAAAAACATGATTACAGTTTCATTTTGGCAAATTATCAAAAATTCTATAGATTTTAATTTAGACTCCCCATCTACCTTAACTCACCATTTTTGTCGTGAAATGCCTGTACCATATCACAAATTTTCCATTTATTTTTTTGTTTGTTTGTTGATATAGTCTAACATTTGTCTGTTTGTATGGAAATCCCCCTTTTGAATTTACCTATGAGTTCGGTAGTTTTATACGACTGTTATAATATTATTTTCTTTTAGGAGTTGTCTCGAAGCTTTCAAATATAAGTTCAGCCTTAACTGAGTCTCAATTGTGTAAGATTTGTGATTTAAGTGGTTTTACAACGTTAGCAGTAGGTAAGGTTATTCACAGGAATTATTATCCTTGGTGGTAAATAAATTTTCATGCGCTTATAATCGGTATATTATAGACTTAAGGATCGTAAGCTAAAGCTTCAGATTAATTGGAATATACAGTCGGGCTTTATTGAATGATAATCATATCTAGGATTGCTGTATACCTTACTTCATTTATTTATTACACGTAAGTTAACTCAAGAAAGGTGCAAATGTTAAATAGTTATTAAATATTTGTAACAAACAACTCTAATAATCAATCTCAATTCGTTATATCGGTTTAAGGATGTTCGCTACTTTTGTTTTTGACTTTTTGTCAGATATTCGGAATTCTCTAGTTTTATCCATGTAGTGCCAATAAAAATTTTGCCCACTGACCTTTACATTTTTTTTCATAATTTTATTGCATATAGTTTTTAAAGTCATTTTTGAAAATTTCATAAATCCTTGTTATTTTTTCATAGCTTTTGAAAGGAAAAATAAAGGCAACAGTAGTATACCGCTGTTCGAAACTCATAAATCGATAGATATAAATACAAATCTGGGTTACAAACTAAAACTGAGGGAAACGCATCCAATATAAGTGGAGAACAACGAAACAACAAAAACACAACATTAAAATGTAACACACACAGAAACGAACTATAATATAACAATGGCCATTTTCCCGACTTGGTACAGGACATTTTAAGAAAAAAAATGGTGGGTTTAACCTGGTTTTGTGGCATGCCAAACCTCCCGCTTTATGGCAATGTTAAATATAACATTAAAATGACAACATTACATGACATGACTACAATACAAATAAATGGGAATACATATAGGACAAAGAAACACACGAATAATAGCTAACAAAAGGAACTAGGTTTAAAATTTAATACGCCAGACGTGCGTCTAGTCCACACAAGACTAACCAGTGACGTTCAGATGAAAAAAGTTTGAAAGCCAAAACAAGTACAAAGCTGAAGAGCACAAAAAGGTGTCAATGTTAAATGTAAGAAAAATCTAGAGGGAACCATTTCCCGCCAAATTTTCAATTGAACTGAAACACGGACCTATCATTTTTTTTCAATTTTTATGTTTCCTTATATTCTATCAACCTATAACGATCATTTAAAAACCTTATTATTTTGAAACAGAGGAGCGAGCATCCTTAACTTGCTTACAGTTTAATTTTTTGTATATTGACAGTAACGGAAAACATTCCAATGAACAAGCAAGCTTCAAAGGACATGAATATATGCAATTATCTCTCTTGTTTTGACAATAACCTTCAAAAGTGAACAATAGAAGTATAGAAAATATTTTAGTTGTATAATGGAAATGATTAAAACTTATATATCTTAGCTGATCGATATCAATAAACCGACCGATGTTCCTAGTGCTACATGAACTGAGGACCACTTTGGAAGCAAATTATTTCTTGGCTTTCGTAATGGTTAATTGTTAGTTTCTATTCATTATTAAGGCCACCAGTGCTAAATGTTTTCATTGCCACGATTTTGGAGCAACTACTTCCACTAGTAAAAAGCCTTGATATCTTAATAGTGATTGAGTCACGTTTTATTTTATTGTTTTACAGAACAACCATGTAAGTATAGTTAACAAGGTAAAAAACTTTACGAAAAGGATACAAGAAAAAATAAAGAGAAACTGATTAAAATTTTCAAATTCTATCAGGATATTATCTTGTCAATTCTGTAGTATGTAGAGAGAATATTGATAAAATTCAAAAAGATAAGTCTGAAAAAGATGACTGATATGTACTTAAAAAAAGAACACTAAGCTACTTTTATTAAAAAAAAATAACCTAATATTTCTAAATAAGAATATTCTAGGTCTTCAAGGGAAGCTTATTTAAGATTGTTTGAACATATAGCTTTATCATTATTGAAGCAAAAGGTGAAATTCCACAAAAAGAAAACTTTAATAAAAAAAACACTAATAAGTAAATGCAAAACAAAATCTTTTCTAAATGTTTTATACTAACACGTAGAATCTGCAATGTTTTAAAGCCTTATTTTGAGAAGAGCTCACAAATTAGAAAATGATCTCAAAGATTATTCCCAGTTTGACATAATATTATCTTTGTGTTTTTAAAATAATAATTTTCCATTGTTTCCCATAAAGGACTACTGCTACCTGTATATATTAAACATGTTACGCCAAAAGTAACTCCTTATCGTAGATATTTGTATTTCAAATTTAAAAAAAAAATAGTTAGAAAAATATGACACACGTGATGAAACATTGTCCTGTAAGAAAGAAGAAAGTCTAAACTTGGTTTTCATATGGAATGACTTGCCAACATAGTTTAGCAAACTATATTTATCTATGCTACTTGCTTGTTTCATTATGTGATATTTTTAATGCGATTTTCAGCGTCAGTACCAGAATCAGTTACTCCCGTTGTTTGTGAAGTTCCATCATTCTGTCAACCAAGTAATAACATACCCTGTCCAGGAGGAGGAAGTCTTCCAACGGGATGTAGTGGCATGACTACGAATCCAACAACGACTACTACTACAAACACACCAACCACGACCACTTCAGACACTCAAACGACTATTAGAACCAAGAAACCATGTGGGAGGAGGAGACGCAAGCACATAAATGGACATTGAAAACAGTATATGAATGATAAAAGAATTAAACAAAACCAACCTAAAATGAATAACATGACTATTTTTATTTGTCTAGAATAACAACCAGCTTTAATTTTGTCAACGACAATTAGATTACAGAGCAGCTGATACTTTCATTGTTATTACTTTACTTGCTACTCGTTACGTATGTTTTTTATTTGAATAAGCTTGTGTTTGCAATTAAATTTAAAGTATCATTGTTAAAGAGAAGCAATAGATACTAAAGGGACATTAAAACTAATAAGTCGAAAAACAAATTGACAGCACCACGGCAAATAACAAAAAGCAACCAAAAGATAAACAATAGTATACAACACACAACATAGAAAAACTTAAGCACGAACTCATCAAAAACAGGGAGTGATCGCAGGTGCTCCGGAAAAATACGCAGATCCTGCTCTACATATGGCACCCGTCGTATTGCTCATGTATGATCAAACCCCATGATAAGTCTTATTTTGAAGGTCAGCTCGAAGAAACGAAGACGGGAAAAATTGTAACATAGACTCTTTATCTGTGAAACAGACATTTCATAACGGTCAATAATTAACACGTCATGGTGTCCGTAATATTTTCGAAGGGATGATTTCAAATCTATCACTAAGTTTCTTTTGGTACTTTTTGTTCACATGGTTCGGTCGATTAAATCAGTTTTGCAGATTCAAAAATCAATGACAAATGGCATTTGTTAATGACGTATGTGCAAAAATCCAGATAATGAAATAGCTCTATTCATGTTCATTCTATATATTAAACTAAGAGTGAACTTATTGTAGCTATTCATTTGAACAGTTACTTGACACACAAAACTGTCCACCAACAGAACACACACTTAAATATGAGTACATGTCCGTTCGTAGTAGTGTCAGCATGCAGAACAGGTAAAGAAATGTGCGGTCCATATACATTCCAGTTCTCTTAAAAATAGACATATTTTAATTAGAAACGGTCGGTTGTCAATGTTTAGAGGAGATGAGGTGGTAGAAATTACACATTATTTGTAAAAGCATTATAAGGAAAGCAATTTGACATTTTCTGTCGGTGTTACTGATAGTAACTCAACCTGCAGCTTATTTTATTACCGGTCACCATCAGATATAAGGTAACATCCATACTGGTTAAGACAATGTTGAGAGTTAGTTGACCTGAATGTGTTTGCTTGAATCGTAAACTGTTGGTACATACTTGACACCGCTGGTACTTTCAGCTTAATAAAAGCAAAGTTTAATTTTGCATGATACATACAGAAAACTTGGTATTGATGTTTTCTGCACCTGCCATAAATATGATAATGAAAACAAAGATCCGTGCATCATAACATATACGTTGCTGGTCGCAATTTAGGAATCTTTGCTTGCTATCGTTAAGTGCCAGATATTTCAAGCATATTTAGGTCAAACATAAATTTAATTGGCAGGTTCCACAAAGGGCGGGAATTTAAGACTTAGAAAGTGAAAGCGTCGATACGAATTATCATTCCACCATCGTATACACATATAACAAAACTCCAACAAATAACGAAAAAAATGCTAATGTTATCTAAGAACATTTCATCAATCAAGTTAAGCTGTCAAAATTTTGATCGCTAACAATGTGCCATATTTTCCCAGGCCATCTATAATTCTCTTGCATTTGATATTACGTCTAATACTAGAATTGACCACAAAGGGAAATATTCTGTCAATATAAAAAAGGTGGTAACAATAAAATATATTTACGACAGTGTACGCCGGCAGCTGGTTGGTTTGGGAGAGCTACAGCCCATACTTGGTATTGGTACATAAAACTGGAGTTCCCGTAAACATGGTAAATGTATAGCTGGAGAAAACTGGGATATCCGGAGAGAACAACCGAGCAACTTACGATTTTTGTCAATAAAAATCGTAGTCAAAAACGCCTTACCAGGAGCAGGGTTCGAGCTCTCAACATCAGAGTTAACAGGCTAATGGTCACTGTTGTCGGAAAAACTTTGACCTATATGTTACCGAGACCCCTCATACTTAACATATAAGTCAAACTTCTGTTAGATAGTATGTGTTTCCCTTTTTATGTTCTAGTGTACTAGTACCTTTTACTTTCAAAGATTGTTATGCTTCCTACATAATTGGAATGCTATGAGGTTCTATCGATGTGTTTGGGAATTTTATTCAATGATACTGGACATGGCTGCATATAACATGCATAAATACTTTCCTCACAGCCAAAAAGTGAAAGTCACTCTGTAGGTTTACGAGGACAAACAATATATAACATACAATATAAAACGATTACCGATATATATAATCTGCAGAAAGCAAGGACTGTTGTTGATACATTTAGACAAGAAACATTCAAACAATTAGATTTGTACAAACATGAATATTTCTATGTCCAATTTATCTCTGGCGCGAATATACGTGAAATATTTGACACTGTACGTTAGACAAGCAGCACTCAATTGATCAGAATCTATCCATGCCACATCGATTCTAAATCCTTTATTTTTATTGCAAGAATGATATGGTCACTCATTACAGTTTTTTAAAAGAATGAAAACAATACCTTATAACTTTATGCGTCCGAAGCGGTTTTCTGGATTTACCTTCATCAGGAACGCTCCAGGCCGAATATTTGAAAGCCAAGGATGTATAAGAACCGAAACAGTTGAAGAGCTATATTACCAAAAAGGACCTAATAACTAGCAGAATCCTTCTAAGGTCAACTTTGCCTGAGGGAGTTGAAACCTTGGTTTCTAATAATTTGAAAATTTATTAATTACCGAAGTACTGACTACTGGGCTGATGATACCCTCGGGGACTTATGTGCATTCGGTTTCATAATCATAAAATCGTTATAATAGCTAGTTTTATAGATTGATTGTTTAACGTCCAATACTATTTTTTCTGCAAATTGATAACAAAAACATATTATTTGTCTAGAAATAGATTATGTTAGAGTGCCTGCATATTACTTCTATATCCTTTACATTAGTATTCCTCACTTATTCCACACTTAAAGAAAGATTACAAGAATTTATTTCTATGTAGCAATATTTCAACAGCGCGTGAATAAAGTATAAATCTTCTATTTGGTGCATTATTCTTAACTTGCCTTTCCTGTCATGATTTCCTTGATAGACCATTGCTGTTTACATTGTAAAATGAAAATGTTAAACCAAGTGTTCCCTATTCGTGTTATTGTTAAGTTGAAGTACATTTCAATGAGTCTGATCATTCAATCCATTCTATGCGAGATCTCATCATCAAACAAATATAACATAGGACTAGCAATTCTCGTCTTGCAGGAAATCTCCGTAGACAAAAGGAAAACTACTGGATTTGGAAATCGGAAACTGCGACGAACAAATGGTTGCAATGTCATTACTGATGGTATATATGTTCTTCCTGTAGCTCGATGAATGAATTAATATTTATAACTTTGCTCCTCGACGTAGATACAGTCATGGTCATTGTCATTATATATCACTTATTCTCCATTCAAACTTACAGCTTTCATCTCGAATATTATCAGTCACCGACTTTTCAGACCAGTTCGAGAAATGATCCTTTTTAAAACTTTTCTTTTCCAGCTAAGGTCTCGATGCTATCAACTTGGGCAATATCCTTTTTTATAAATCAGTTCCTTTGGGAATACCTCTCTACGTTAAAGATCTGTCTGTACTTATCATCTCTTATACCTATACCAAACCAATGGCAATGTTGCCGGATCTCAATATTGACGACGTAAATTCTAAACCTCCTGATTGCACCTGTGCTATCTCCCAATAAATTCAAAATCCGACTGCCCACGTTATTACTTGTGGCCGGGACATTGTCAATAACATGAATAACACTTCTCTGCGAAATGTGTTATCCAAAGGCCTAAAATATCGAAAACCTAAATCCATCAATCGGAAACACAACTTCAAAATACTTATGACTCAGTCGAGGATTACGCCAGGCAATGGAATAAAAGTGAAAAAGAAAACGTGAATACTCTTTCCGAATTGATTAAGGATGAGAAGTCGTTGATACAAATTAGGACTAAAAAACTAAATGGGTCTATGAATACAGATGCTACATCCATCTTACAAAACCAAATGTTGCTAAGCACCTGTCCTACTCAATGACAAATGTGTTGTAGTCCCCGCAAATAAAGCCCCAAACGACATCGTGTTTGTATGAAAATCACATTTCATAAAAGATTGATAAAGGAATTAGGTATTAACAATCATTTCAAATTGAAACTTAGCATATACCCTTTGACACTTACCAAGTAGGAAATAATGAATAATCATAGGTCTGTCTGTTCAATGTTCCTTTGGAATTTAAACCAAAGATGAAGAATTAATTCTTCCTTCACTGTATTGGATACCTAAATTACATAAGTGCCTTACAAACGTTATATTGCTGGATCTTCCAAGTGCCCCACGAAACCTCTTTCTAAATTATTAACTTCAAAATTCAGCATATCCCCTATGACACTTACCAAGTAGGAAAAAAATAAAAATCATAGGTCTGTTCAATGTTCCTTTGAAATTTCAACAAAATATTGTTTACATTTGCATCACAGCTTCTATCCATTTTTCCTTCCCCACAAACATGCTTGTCTTTCGTACAAATTTTCCAGCCCACAATATTAAAGTAAAATTACAGGCTGAAGTCGGACTGTTTCTTGTTCAGCTTTAATGTATTATAAGAATATCGGGAATCTATGTTTTTTTTTTTTTTGGCGAAAAGCTGCAAATAATCGATGCAGATTTACGATAAAAATATCAAAAATAATGCACAAAAGTCATATGGAATTATTTTACACAACTTTTCAATTAAATCAAGAAAACAAATTGATTTCATCGGAATGTATCGTCAATTCACCTATAATAAGGTCTTATTATCTTGGATGTCTGGTTACTTAATTTTGTAGCATTGCCTCTTAAATAAAAACAGGTCTAAATATGGGTATATATGTTATGTACAAGTTATCAAAATAATAATGTGTACAAAAAAATACAAAAAAATCACTTATAACTTGTATAATAATTTATAGTATGGATTTTGTTAAAAAAAAAGCATTGACACACACTAAAGAAATTTTGATCAATGACCACACAATAAACCTTATTTACAAAATACAAAAC